TGAGACTAGCCCCGGGCTGGCAGGGATAGAGATGGATTGTGATAGCACAAACCTGATCTACCTGGATTGTTGCTGTACCACAGGTCCTGTTTGATAGACAAAGGGATAACCATACAGACATAAACATGGTACACAGTGAGAAAAGCTACTATGCACGTGGTGCAGAGCATGCTCCACCCATGTCAGGGGCTGAAGCAGGGTGTGCTTCCTGGAGGCAAGTTAGAAAGTATGAGATGCAACATGGAGACCAAGCCAGTGAATACGAGACAATGTTCAGGGTACCAAGCAAAATGAGGAGCCCTGGAAACAAAGAGAACACAGTAGGTGCCTGTGCTCTGATGCCGCTGCAGTCACGGCCTGAAAGATTGGGAAGAGTGGCATTCAAGTCCAGTTAGCAATGACTATGGAGTACCATACAGGGTAAGCCCCACCTCCAGCTGAGCCTTGGGTGTTACTGGTCCTACTTTAGAGGTGAGAAAACTGGAGCTAAGCAAACTAATACTAGTTTCCACCACATATATGCCATAGAGTTGGAATCCCAGCTCAGATTGTTTCTCAAAGCCCACATCCTCTTCATGCATATTCTTTTGTAGTGAGATGTGATTAGAGAGCTATGTGACCTTGTCAAAGATCTCCAAAGACACAACCTTCCTCAGCTTCCACTTCCACCATCTCTATAATGTTACATACTGTAGGATAGTAAGATCCATTCAGTGCGGGAAAGAAAGCCAAGTCTTTCCTAAGAAATCTCACATTGAAAGCGTAAATACCCACAGTGATGGACAGGCTAAGTGTGAAAAACGGAACAGTCATTCGCATTCCTGGACCTGAACGCAGGTGAACCCCAATGTGACTAAAGCAAACAGACAACATAAGGCCTTGTCACACGCTAATCAAAAACGACAGCGGTAGTCAGCTCCCATTCCGACAGGACCTCCTCCACTCGAAGCGGCTCCCTCTCTGGAGGATAAGTTTTCACCAGAGAAGGTAGTGGCCCTCCCACCTTGCTGTCCTCATCTTTGCAGCATTCCTCATCAAACTGACACCTGAAAAACAGTGGAGGCAGGCGGGACAACAAAAACCCTGTTCCAAATCCTGCTGAGAACCCCCACAGTTCTACACAGCTGGCTTCCTCACGTGGTGTCTCCCATGCTCTTCCCTCCAACAATACTGTGGGTTAGAAGGTCAAGGTTAGGTGAGTGACTGCCCGTCTAGAGAGCATGCAAGGGAACAAAGAAACAAGGATGGCATGGCACAGGGCTTCAAACCCATGCCTACCACATTGGCCTTAAACTCAAATCACAGACTCACAAGCCCCATCAACTCTCACCTCAGCTCCTTTCTACTCTGGTCACTGGAGTCATCTCCTGTGAGTAGAAGGCCCAGAATCAAATCTTTCTCATGGTTTATCGGGGAGGAGAATCCGCAAACCTCTTTGCAGCCAGACTGTCCCAGGGAGAGGGCTCAGGGTCTATCTGCACAGGCAGGGAGCATGCCTGCTTACTTGGCACTCACCATTCCACACCTGGCTTCCTGGGGCCTTTGAGTCTCCATGAACAACCTTCTTTCACTCTGCTAGAATCACAGCTCATTCACTAATTAAAGGGTATTACACACTTCATTGCACACCAGCTAAGAACTTGGAATAAGGGAGCCTGTGCTACAGCATTTGCCCTGGAGATGATGCTCTGGGCTTTACAGAAAAATCAAATTCAGAAAAAAAGAGCATCCCTAACACTTAAATTCTCTAATAAGTCAGCCATGGTGCTTAGAGAAAGAAGGTACCCGGTGTGTCCCAACCCCCAGCAGAGCTTGTAAGAAAGCCCACTGGGGAGGGATGGCCATCCCAGAATGAGAGAGGAGGCTGGGACACAGGCTTCTCCAACAGCTACATAGGCTCACTGCTGATGAAGAAGCCCAAGAAAAGCTTGATTACACCTAAGTCCCAAAAAGCACAAAAGTGTGTCAGAGGTTTGCTCCTCAATGTGGGGTCTTGGATGTGTTCCCTATTGTATTACCCCCAACAGAGGCTGGCATGGGTGCCCACTGTCACCTATTGGTGAAGACCAGCTTCCTATCACACACCTAAAGTGAGCAGCATTCTGACATCCCTGAGCAGACAGCAGAGAACATCAAGGGGCTTCCTCTCTTCAGCCCTTGGAGAGGTTACACACAGAGGGGTTAATCCAAGGATGGGCACTCAAACAGATGAATCTAGGATTTGCTGAGATTGGCAGATAATGTATGCCACTAATCAAAGAGTCAGCCTTGTCTGCAGGCAACTTCAGTGTTTCAGAGGGTCTGAAGCTCAGGTAAGGATTTAAGACCTGACTTTGGGTGGCTTGGGATACCAGCAATTCAAATGATGGGCCAAATACAAACAAGCAGCCTGAGATCAACAAGCCTCTGCTTCTAAAGGGAACTTGGTCATGATCATCGCTACCAGTCAGCTATACCACCACGAGGATGCTTTTGACTATGCTTGAAGATTCATCCCAGGGTCTGCTGCCCAGGACAGCCTCCCTGAGGCACCCTGCGTCTGTTGTCTGTGGGTTCCGTGTGTGCAGGCAGACAGAGGAAGAGCTGAACGCACATTCAAGCTTCTCAGTACAGCAATGAGGCTGAGCGTTGCCAGGCACTAGAAAGCATGGGCTGGAACACAGTGATGGTTTCAGCCTCCAAGAACGAGGCATTTTCCCCATCCCTCCCCAAGGCCCCTCAGACATCATTTGTGCATGACATATTTTAGGATCCTGTTTGCTCCTTTAAGAAGGGCTGGCCGCTTCCTTCTCCAGCTCAGACTGGCTTCATCTTTAGCAAATGCTGCTGTCAGTTTGGCTGTGCTCTTCCTTGGAATGTTTAAAAGGGATAATAATACAAAACGGCTCCCCCAGGAAACAGCTCTAGCACATGGGCTGTGAGAGGCAATGCCCCTGGCACTCTGGGCTCTTTCAGAATGAGAGACAGCCAACAGCAAGTGCAGAGGATGAACGCAGAGACTGGTGGGAACATAAAGAGAACCTCAGAGCAAGAGGCAGGTGGCTCTGAGAGGGGTGGGAAGGGTTGCACTACGGGAAGGGGAGGATGTCTTATAATGAAGCAGAGCACCCCCAGACAAGTGCTGACGACACAGTCCAGTTCCCTTGATGATTGCTGCACCTGCCACCCCAACTCGTCACTGCATTTTGGCTCAAGAAGCTGGGTCCCTGAAGCTCTCCTTCCCCTGCCCCAGGAAGCTGTGGGGAAAGCAGATACGCTGGACTGCAGGAGGAGCCCACAGTTCCTGACACCCCAGACTTGCCTGGCAGTGTGGAATAGCTGGCAGCTACGGTCTGACCTGTTACACCAAGTTATGCCTAGCAGTCCACTAATTGGGCTGAGAACCCTGGCGGCCACAGATCTGCTGCTCCCATCCTTCCCTCTCAGCCCCCTCTGGCAAACCCATCGTGAACGTGAGACACGTCCCCTCCTCTTTACTCAGCTCCACACTCCCCTCCAGGCTTTCCAATCCCACAGCTGCTCGCCCCCCTCCCCACACCCTCCTCCTGCACCCACGTTGTCATTGTGAAGCAATTGTACACAGAGAAAACGAGCCTTCGAGTTTCGAGCTAAAGCTCCCAGACAAGCCAGCCTCCGGGACCTCCTCACCACATCTGTCATCTCCTCCCACCCTCTACAGGAGCCTCTACCCTGACTCTCCTCTCTGGCCAAGCATCATGGACAGCTCGCAGCTTCACCCTGCCTGCAGGAGAACCAGATGGAGCTGCGGGGGGTCCTCTCCTTTCCACACTATTCAGGCAAGAAAAGGAAGGAAAGAGCCTTCCACACCTCTGCAGCATCACCCGCTCGGGGAGCCATTCAGGCTGTCTGGGGCCCCACACCCCCTCTTGTGACAGCTTTAGCTCCAGCCCAGCCCACAGGATGCAGAGCCTGATGCCACTTCCACTTCCGAGCACAGAGAGAGAGAGGGAGAGAGAGAGGAGAGAGAGGAAGAGAGAGAGAGAGAAAAAAAGAGAGAGGAGAGGATGCCATCTCACCAATGACAAGCTGTTCCTGTCACACAGCTCGGACATCAAGCACCCTGGACAATGGACAGCCCAAGCCTCTTCCCTCTGACTGGGAGAAAGCCCAACTCAGCACACCCCAACAACAAGCCCCCTGTAGCTCTCCAACCTGAAAGGACCACAGTACTCATCCGGCAGGTAACCTTTTCTACAAACAGGTCCAACACCTCTCATCAGCTACCCTTTTGGCCTTCAGCTGGGTCTCTGCCCTCTCCCCTGTACAGCAGAGACCCCCAAGCCAAACAGAAGGTCCCCAGTGCCACCAGCACAGCACTTCTACTGAAGAATAAGCACAAGAGTGAACTGAAAACCAAGTACTCACCGTGGTGAAGTCTTGGTGTCCACACTCCTGGCCCTTGAACTTGCAGTACAGCATCATATCCTTCAGGTCGTGGCCTACCCGGTGCAGGAACTCCAGCATGCTGAACTGCTTCGGTTTGTAGTGTTTGAAGTTGGCCTTCTGTCGCAGGGCCTCCAGAACTGTGGGGTCCGCAAGATGCGGGTCAGGAATCTGCAGGTTGACATCCAGCAGGGCCAGCAACTCCCCAGCGTGGTACAGGTCGTTAGTGGTGAGCCTGGAGAACCGAAAGCCATTGAGGTTGCAGAGGGTCACAGCTGGAAAGACCAGGCTCTGGGCCACCACCTCGTCCACCTTGGTAACGTGCTGATATGAGAAGTAGTAGGACACTCTTTCAGAGCTTTCGACCAGCAGCAGGCCCAGGGAGCCCACGAAGGCTACTGCCCAAAGCACACGCCGGATGGTCAACGGCCCATACACGAAGATGTGGCGGATGCCATGCAGAGTGGAGGTGTTGGCGAAGATTTGGAGGCTGGAAGGTTGCAGGCTGCCCTCGCTGGGGCTCTCCTTCAGGTCCATCGGGACCCTATGCAGTTCCGCAACTGGCTGCAGGTTGATCAAATCTCAGGGAAGAGTTCCCAGTCCTCTGAATTCTGCTTGAAGCCTTGGCGTTCAAGGCAGAGATCGCCAGGCAAGCATCAGGCCAGACACTGGGAGTTTATCCTGAGAGCCTGGCCTCACGCTGACAGGGGTGAGTGTTTATATAAAACCCATTCAAACTCTAGCTCCTGATTTTTTCCAGGCGATAAGGAGGGCTGGTTTTATTTAGGGAGACACCAAGGTGATGTGGAAGGGATGTGGGTGGGAAGGGAGCGCTTAGCCAATGGAAATAAAGTCCTCCCCCCTACACACGCCACTAGAGACAAGATTAAAAGCGAGAGCGAGGGAGAAAATGCTTAAAACAAGTCGCTGAGCAGCTCGGAGCCTGTTAACCAGCGCATAATGCCCCGTGTTAAGCATGGGGGGATGTCAGCAGAGCCACGCTGATGCAGTGCGGTGGGGCGCCGCGGTGCAGCTTCCTAGCAGCCGACACGCTTAGCTTCTTCCTGGGGGTGTCCGGGACCCTGGACGCGCGGCTTCTCGCTGCCGGCTTCCAACCCTCCTTTCTCTCCTCCTTTTCCGGCCCCCTTTTGGGGACAGAATTCCAATTGAGGGCCGTGGCTGCTGCTTGGGAGAGGACGCTGCGCTCCGCCTCCAACAGGAGAGGCAGGGATGCGGGGGCTCCTGTGGGCTCCGTGCTCCCAGCCTCCGGAAAGGAGAGGGAGACTCATGGGCTCAGAGCAAGCCTGTTCCCCTGGTCTGCCTCCCGCGATGCTGCTATGGAAAGGGAGGTTTGTGCAGGGAGTAGGGGCTGGGGACATGGAGAAAGTTTTTAGCCTTTTTTTTTTTTTTAAAGGAGCTGCTGGGGGTCTTCTAGTCCAGGTAGCGAGCCACTCCCATAGGAAGGAGAACTTGACCCCCTTTCCCTATGGATGACAGGAAAGTGGACACTTAACTGCGTGTGTGGCGTGTAAGATGTTGGCAAGGGTTCTTTGCACCAATGTGAGCTCCAGGGTCACATCCACGGGAGACCCCACCGGAGAGATGCTGAAAACGATAGGAACAATTTATAAACCACAGGGTCTCTGCTGCAGGCTGGAGGGAGACACTCCAGGCGAGCAGGGAGAAACCCTTCTAGAGACTGAAAAACCACTGTGCCCGTAGGAGCCCCAGAGGAAGAGCAACAAGTACCCTCACCCCCATATGGCTGTCAGGACATTTTGTGTTTAACAAAGGAAGACAGCTGGGGGCCAGGTAGGACTGGCTGCATTCCATTCTGTTTGAGAGGGGTGTGTGTGTGTGTGTGTGTGTGTGTGTGTGTGTGTGTGTGTGTGTGTGTGTGTTCTGTCCCAGGATTTGCCAGATGGAATCACAGCTGGAGCTGTAGGTGAGAGAGAATGGGCCCTCAGCCTCCTACCTCCTGCTTCCTGAAAATCCCTTGTAAATCAGACCCCTGCTGGCTGATAGGTGTGGCTTGCCTGCCTGCCCCTTGCCAGAGATCAAGTGGCTGGCATCTATTGAATCAGGGATAAATTCTCATCAGGGTGAAAGGAATTGAAAGTTAGAGCAGCCAACTGAACCACTCAGCCAAGCTGGGATAGAGCCACATGGAGGCAAGTATCTTGGAGAGCCAAGCTGGTGTCTCCAGGGCATGCCAGGCTTAAGAAGCTGAAGGAAAAGGCGACTTAGATCACGTTCTTCTAGGCTGATGGCCATTCTGAAATCTTCTCCTGTCCCATCCAGTCTTCTGCTAGGCCAGACCCATGGAGACAGTTCCCAGAAAGCATGCTGAGGTGATACATGGGGCATGGCCTTGGCAGTTTATCGATCAGGGGTGACATGACAAGTGGGCAAATGGCGAAGACTGAGGGGCCTTGTGCCTTGCCTAGCCCAGAGTCCTGGCCTCAACAGCACACAGGCTTGGAAACCAAGAGGACCAAAATCAGTCTGGATTTCCCATGCCTCAGGGCCCGTGTGAGACGCTGAATTGGCCCACATCCCCCTCTCAACTCCCTGGGCAGGTGAATGTTCTGGATTTTATCCCCCCTTCCTACTGAAGAGGCAACTCAGGCCTGCAACAGTGAATGCTGCATCCAGATCACACAGCCAGTGAGGTGGGAGCTGAGGCTTCATCCTGGGGGTGTTCGCCTCTGAAACAGGTTGTAAAAAGCAGATCCAAATTTTTCCATCTCAAATTTAGGAAAGGATTTCTACCCCGCCCCCCTCCACCCAAATGTTCTCTCTGTCTCACACACAGACCACTCCCTCACCTGTGTAGATCCCCTCCCTGCCTTCTCTGGCTCACATGACACCCCTGTTGCCCTTTTTTCACAAGGGAAGGTCCTCATGAAGAAGACTCGCTGATTCTTCTTGCCAGCCTTTGGCTCGCCAGTCTCATTAGTAAGTGTGTTCCCCTTGAGCTGCGTTCCGAACACTTTGCTGCTTGGGAGAAAACAGGATGAATGAAACACATGTCCTACTACTGATGCCTCAAGGCTCAGGGAAGTGAAGACAGAGACAGGCACCCAGGTCTCCTTGCTGCTGCTCTGATGGTAGACTCTACTCTCAGCTCTGCCTCCTTCTGCACTGTGACCTTGGAGAAAGCGCCTAAGCTCTGAACTTTCATTCCCTTCCTTCATGAAGGTGGGGCTTTGGAATGTCAGAGGAAAAGAGAAGCCTTTTGTACAATTTAGACACGTAGCAATTAATGCTCTTGATGAATGCTGGGAGAAGGTGCTCTGTTGATGTTGATGCACTTTTCCAGGTAACTGGGAAACCATGTCAAGCTCTCAGAGATGTGATTTGCCTCAGGTACTGCATATCTGAAAGGCCAAGGTCAAGCACGACTTTGCCTTCTCGTCTGCTTCCTGTCTACAGCCCAAAGATGACCTCAGGGCCTTCTGGACTCTTGCAAACAGGCTAGGCACTTCAGGACCAGAAAATAAAGACCCTAATGATGGCTTTCATTGCAAGTCACCAGGCTCTGTGCTGGGTGTCTCATGGACCTGTCAAATGCCAAGAGCACCACTGAACCCACTTCACAGAAAAACCTGAAGATAGAAGGGCTTCTTAGTCCATGATACCACTGCTGAAAACTAGAACAGTCGATAGTCAAACTCTTGGAGGTCTGAGCTGGAAGACATAGTCCACAGACCTGCATCCGACACCAGTGCATACAAGCATGGTGCCAGTGCTGAACAGAAGGGCCAGAGATGGACAGTGTTTTTCAAGAGATACTACTGTACTGTACCATTCTCTGTCAGAGCTAGTTACTCTGCCCAATGGCTAATAAAATGTCCCTGTGTGGCTCTTCTTAAGGCCCTCTTTAGCTGGTAAGACTCTCCTGCAATTAATACTGTGGTCTACATACAAACATTCGATATTGTCTGATCCTTAAAAATGTTTTTGTAGCGTTCACTTGGTTAAACATTTGCAGCATCAGTCAGATTCCCAGTATCTTTTACTTAGCTCTGGGGCATGTGCAGAGGGCACAGGCATCAGGTTTAGAAAGGGTCCACTTGGCTCAGTTTTTTAGGCACTGCCCTAATTGTGTATAATTATGGTCTTTTTTTATGCATTGCACTACTAATCATTAAAAAAACAAAGCAAAACAAAAAAACCTTTCCAGGCAAATTCATGTGAAAACTAGGCAACTTAACCCCCTGTTAGCCCATGTGCCCAGAGTTTTGATACAGCAAATCTCTTTGCTTAAGAACAAATAAATCGATGTATTTACGAATTTCTCTCTGTTTTTGCTGAGGTGCCAGGAGGGGGCGCTCTCTTTCAACCTTGGGGACCCTAGGGCCTGCCTTAAATGTGACTCCCTGGAGGCCCCAGGGCAGAATGCAGCCTCCTCTTGCCTCTAAAGAGAATGGCAGACAGAGTTAGACAGGGTGGGCTCTACCATCAGCCCCAAAGCTAATTTGCTACTTAATGTGTACTAGATACTGGCAGCTACTGCCATCACTCCTAATTAGGGAAAAAAAAAAAAAGTGCATCCTTTTCTAACATGCAGATGGAATTATTTCAAACTCCCATGGCTTCCTTGAACAACTTTTCTTCCTGGTTCCTCATTGCAGTGAAAAAGGTTAACCCAAGCGTGGCCCTGCTGCAGACTGGTTTATAAGCACACAGCTCTTACAGTAACGAGTCTTAATTCTTTCCTTTCTTGTCTGAATTTTTAGCAGTAATTCTCTATAAAGGGCAAACCGGGAAGGGACATGAAGCAAAGAGGTGCATTTAATGAGTCCTTTCTTTTATTTATTTATTCATTTTTATGTGTATGGATGTTTTGCCTGGTTGTATGTCTGTGCATCATGTGCACGTCTGGTGTCCTTGGAAGCAATAAGAAGGCATTAGATTCCCCTAGGACTGGAGTTACAGACAGCTGTGAACCACCATGTGGGTGCTTGGAATCGAATCCGGGTCTTCCTGAAGAGCATCCAACGTTCTTCTCTCTCTTTTTTTTTTGTTTTTGTTTTTTTTGTTTTTCGAGACAGGGTTTCTCTGTGTAGCTTTGCGCCTTTCCTGGAACTCACTTGGTAGCCCAGGCTGGCCTCGAACTCACAGAGATCCGCCTGGCTCTGCCTCCCGAGTGCTGGGATTAAAGGTGTGCGCCACCACCGCCCGGCGCATCCAACGTTCTTAATGGACAAGCCATCTCTGCAGCTCCTAATGAGTCACTTCTTAAAATCTTACCTACTGTTTGCTCTCCAGGTAAAAACTGCAGAAGCCTGTTTGCAAGAGTGGACCCATGGGACTCAGTTGCAAATTGGCATGACCCTGGGATAGACTTAATTTGCTGTGTGGCCTTCAGGAAATCATAGAACATCTCTGGGTTATTTGTGCTAACTCATTCCTGGGCTTCCTGTTGCTGGTTCTGCTGTTGCTGCAATTTGACACTGGGCCTTGACCAAATCATAAATGCCCAGTTAATGGGATAAAAATGAGCTGGAATCTGGGATTCTGGTCATTAACCCCATGTCACCATCTGCTGGAATAAGATGAGGTTAGGGATAGGGGCACTGGGGATCACCTGGTACTTGTCAGACATACGGATTCCCACCATCTTCCCCTCCCAGGCGGCTTCCACATTTTCAGGGTCTGTGGGGCTGAGGCCCTGTGAGCCTGGCTGCCCTTGTAGCTGGTGAGAGGCAGCTTGAGACATCACCGACGACCAGCCATGCTGGGCGCGAGAGAGGCTCTTCCTGTTGGCCAACCCTGTCAAACTGCTCTGTGGCCTTGCATGCTGCATTTCCCTCTGCCTGGAAAGAGCCTGCCAGCTTGCTTCCTCTCCGTCACCTCCCCAGAGGAGCCTTGGCTGCCTGCCCCACCTCCATCTCCACCTCCACTCTCTGTCTACCCCAGTGCACCCTTCCCCTCTTCTCGGTACTAATGATTTATGGTGATTTGTCTCCTCTCCCTGTGAAGTATCTGTTATTCTTACTGGAGTGTGAATTCCTACCCTGTCCCCATAGGAGGAAAGACAACCTGCCTGGCTGGTTGGGGGCTGAGTCTTGCAGGAGGCTATAGGAATTCATGAATCAATGGACATATGACTGAATTTGTTCATCTCTACCACGGAAGCTACAGACGTGGGGACTCTTCCATCCCTAGGGACCTGGGACCTGTCCTGAGGAAGGTAAAGGTCCCTCTGCCCCCAACTCTGTCCCTTACTGGACATGCCCCAGTTCCAGACTGGAACCAGAAACGCCTGACGTCAGGCCCTGCAGACCAGTTATCGCTTCCTTTCTTGTCTGTGTGCACGAGAGCTGGGGCTAGAGAGGAACTGGAGCTACCTGTCTGCCCCCTCAGGGAGCAATTTCATCTTCTCGGCACCCCACATGCACGAATGGTCAGCCAAGGCTTCTCACAAGCTCCTCTCCACCTCTCCCCACACCCCAGCCACAGGATGGTGATAGCAAAAATAAACTGCGTAAACAGTAGGTGTTCAATAAATGCCCGCTTCTGTGAAAACAGCCATGCAATTCACAACTTCAAATTGTGCCTTGCCCTTCAGGCAATTTCTGAATAACCAAAAGTCAGTTTATAAAGCATCCTTGCCTTGTAGTATGGAATTAGTATCTTTAACACTGATTTTGTTTACTTTAACGAGACACATCTCCCGTAACCCAAGTCTTATGAGTAGACTGACTTCCTCTCCACTAGTCTCAGAGGAGGCTTTTGGGCCATGTCTGACCATAGCCACTTTGATCCTGAAAGCCTTTAATCTAGAGCGCCTGCTTAAAGATGACATGTAAGTATCCTTACTCACGTAAATAAAGCAAGCCTCAGCAGTAGGAAGAGCACCGGGAGGCTCTGGATGCTCATCCAATTTCAAGTCATTTCCCTTCATCGAGAGACTGAGAGTCCAGCCCACCCTTTGCTGCCCACTCTGTGGCTTGTGTCTCAAAGCATCCTTCCTTCACACTGTTTGCTAGAGTCCTCTTCTAGTCTGCCTCTGCCCTTCTGTCCCCTGGGAAGAAAGTAGAAGAAAGGAACCACGGCTATTATTTCTCTAGGTCACTCAGTCCCTGGAGCCAATTGCTTCACACGCAAGCAGGAAAAGGCACAGACAGGTCTGAAGTCAACCGTCCATAGCAGGCTTTCAACAAAAAACTTTATTAGTACCACGTTGGCCATAGGTGAGCCGGCTTTGTGTGGCGCAGAGAGGTGGTGTGGAGTCAGCGTCTGTACTCTGAGTGGAGCTGCCTCTCCCCCTTGTGTTCTGCATGTGGGGTTGCAGCCTATGTTGAGCACCGTATTTGCAGGCAGTGACTGCAGGACTCTGAGCACCTCACCTACCTCCTTGCCTGCACCCTTGCCCCACCCTGCCTGCCTTCCTGTTCATCACTCGCCACTCTTAAAAGCCCACAAGCATGCTGAAGCCGGAATGCACCACATACCTGCATGCATTGGCTGACCACCCTGTATCTTGTGTATCTGTAGTGTATTTGTTTCAATTTGATGCATTTTTCTCTAGTTCTTTCAAACTGCCAAGCGAAACCAACACAATGAAATGGGAATTTTAAAAAGCAGAGATTGGGGCTGACAGAGAGAAAGGAGAAATGCATCTCTGTTCAGCCTTTTCTGTCCATCCACATGATTCCCATTCCAAACTCATAACACGGTAACTGGGGCCATGGCATCTATGTACCACCTGAACAGCTGGGGAGCCCCAAAAGATAGAGACAAAGCAAAGCAAAGCAAAACAAAACAAAATTTTTTTAAAAACCCCAAAACCCAAAAGCACGATCTCTATTTTTGTGTGGATTTTTTACCTCTTGGGTGAGACACTGGCTGATATCTCTTTCTGTCCATACTTGATGTGACACTCTCAAGCGGACTGTATCACAGCTGACTCCCATAGCTGAAGGAACCGGAGGCTCGGAGAGTTAGAGGACTCTAAGCTCCAATCCTGGTTTCCTCACTCCAGACTCCGGGTTGTTTGCACTCTACTGCTGTCCTACTCACCCCCACCCACAATGTTCCCCAGAGCTTTGATTTGAGACTATCTGGGGACTAGCCATGACAAGAGGACATGGCTCTAAGGAGGGGAATCCTATGAGATCAGTAGAAATCACTGGGGAGGGACAAGACTGGAGATGGAGGTCTTAGCCAGCTCCAGGACCAGGCCAAAGACTACACGGTCCTTTCCATGGTGTCCCTGGGTCTGCCATAATGTGAGAAGTCATGGTTAAAGAGCACTGGTGGAGGTCCTGATAGTGAAACATCCATCCTGCCCCGCCCCTGGGCACAGATAGATGCATGTGATGTGTGGGTATCCTTCCTTCATGTCTGATGAAGAAATCAAGCTAGGAAGGCTTTACAGCTTACTATTTTTGGTCTGAACCCTTTGCCTGAGCAGTGTGGAAAGAGACCAGGGAGTAAAGGACATCAGCTCATTGTCCAATACACTGTGTACACAAGGCTGTGGCTTTTGGAAGATATGTCATTGAGACGTGCTGCTCTGTTCTCTGCAGGTCAGATCCCATGGAGGGAAGGGATCCATGTGCATCAGAAGGTGTATATTCCAAGGCCATGCACACATTCTCCCCTTTCTACAAACAAGCAGGCCAGGCTTAAAGGGGTGAGGTAAAGTGACTACAGTCCCAACACTGGTATGGGGATGAACTTCAGGTAAGAGTCCAAGGTGGCTGGCTCATGCTGCTTCCCTGTGCCCTTACAGGCCTGGAGTGTGTGGGTGAGGGTCAGAGGTTGGGGGCAGAAATCAATGGGTTCACATCCAACACACACTGATTATGTTACCTGCGGCCTTGCTTTGCTTCTCTGTAAGATAGGAACGGTAACAGCCCCAACCTCAGAGGACTGACGGGAGGGATAAGCAGCTAAGGTGGGAAAAGTGCTAAGTATCTAACTAAAGTTCAGTCCATGGAAGATGCTGTCAGCACCACCATTGTAGTCACTACCATTGTGAAAGGAGGATCTGGAGGATGAGCTCCACCCAGTGTGCCTGGGGACTCTCTTTGTTCCCCACCCTACCTCCATGTAGAATGCGGGGGTGGGCGCAGGGGCAGTGCACAGTCACAGATCCAGTACAAACGTGAGATTAGAGGGTGGTGGGATTTAAACATTCAGAAATCAAGGTACATCTGGGTGCCAGGGGATAAGAACAAAGGTTTCTTCTCTCACAGCCGTTTTCAAGGGTAACTGAGGTGGGTGGGGAAACTTTGCTCTGGACATTCACACCTTACAAAGCAATGTGGGTGTATCAAGCGCTCTGCTAGGACGTAACACTCCTCAAGATGTGTTTGCAAACCCTAGTCCAGCTTTTACCTGTATCTATGTGAAGTCCTGTTTCCTCCCAAGACAAACCCAGGGGTGACAGGATGCCCACAGGCTCTTGCAGATATTTGGGGATGGCCTTGAGTGATTCTGAGAATAGTCACTCTCACAGGGTCTGACCCAGAGATGGCCACTCTTTCGTTTTCAGTGTGTTCCTACATCTATGTATTTTCACCATCACCCCATGGCCACACTCGGAAACCAAGCTGCCAGCCACCTCTGTGATAGGACTGATTTCAGTGAGGGTGATGGAACATGTCCCTGTGTAGATACAAAACTAAACAATGGTAGACGAGAGAGGAGTCAGGCAAATACTTTGCATGCGTAGCCACTGCCAGTTGGGTAAGCAAACCAGACTATCACACTTGAGCACAGGTGTGTGTTAGAGCTGTACATAAGCAAGAGCGAGGGGACTCAAAAGAACATCTGCCCTCCCATCCCAGTACTGTGAGTGGCAGTAGAATGTTCTGTCACTGTGTCCAGACATCACCAGCTCCATTCAAGGTTGACACTCAGGTGCCAATAACTGTTTGTATCATGCCAATCGGTGATAATCTCCATACCTCGGCTCTCTTGATACTTTGGCCCAGCTAAGTCTATGCTGTGGGGGAAACTGGAAATAATGTGAGGAGTTTCACAGCATGTCTCTTGCTGCAGAAGACAACAGCACTCACATCCCAGTGCCCCAGTTACACCAATAAAAAAGTGTTCACTGGAGGCAACACCACCACCAGCTGGGAACCCCTGAGAAAATGAACCCTCACATAGCCCAGGGCTGTATGTATAATTATTATCCATAGTACACAGTTGTCCCTTCTCTAACTAAGGTACAGGTAAATTAAATCCGGGTCCAAGGCTTCATCTTGGAAGGGCTGGACAGGGTCGATCTCTTTTCACAGTCTACAATCATGTTGTGCTCCTGCCTTGCCAGAGAATGCTCAGTGAGGAGTGCTCAGGGGAGACAGTTAAATTGGTAAAGCGCTCATCATGCAAGCTTGAGGATCCAAGTTCTAGCCCCCAGAACACAAATAAAGAGCTGGGCATGGTGGCAAGAGCTTATAATCCCAGAGTTCAGTAGACATAAGGAGGTGGGTTCCCTAAGTCTCACTGGCCATCCAGCCTAGCAGCACTGGCAGGGTCCAGGCCAGTGAGAAACCTGCCTCCAAAAACGAGGTGAATGGCTCCTGAGGAATGATATCATCTAAGGTTAACCTCTGGCTTCCACACATGTGTACAAACATACACATGCACACCACACACACACACACACACACACACACACACACACACACACACACACACACACACACACACCACAGGAAGATGGACCCTCACCAGTAGCAATCTCTGACAATGACAATGCCCTCATGAGTCACACAACCATCTTTCCCTGCAGGTCCCACCCCCATTTTACAAATGAGCACACTGAGACCTGGGCTGCCAGGAGAAGATCACCCCAAGTTACAGAGCAGGCAAACTACCGGAGGCTAGACTTGGATCCACATCTTGTCAGGCTGCTCTCTGAGTCTAGTCAACACTGATTAAATGATGGGAGGCAGGCAGGCAACTTAATAAAAAAATGCAAATCCAGGATGATGGATATATTTAGGAGGATGAATTATTATGTGGTGGTATAAAAATAGATCAAAGGAGAGCACGTGGACTTGCCAGCCCGGCTGTGTGAGAGACGGGAGGTGCAGGAAGAGCACCAGTGACATTTCATTAACTTTGCTGGGAAAACATGGGAAGGCTGCCACCTAAAAACACAACATTCACGGTGCCCCTTAAAGGAACACTGCGTGCTGGCCTATGAAGAGGAGGTAGACTCTCCATGGGCAGCTACAGTTCTCAGTATGTACTCGTGGGTTCTGTGGCCTTCATGCCATTGAAATGATCTCTAGGGTCCTCCATGTAGATGGATCTCACAGAGATAAGTGGATCAATCTATACTGGAGACCAATCATGTACAATGCTGGGCAGTTATTCTGTGCATTTTTCAGAAAGAAGTCTTGTGATGGTTAATCTTGGTTATCAATTTGACTCTATCTGAAATTAACTAACCCCCCGACCCCCACAAGCAGTTGGGCATACCTGTGAGGGATTTTCTTGATTGATCTTTTGAGGTAGAAAGAACTACACTAAATCAGGGCCACATCTTCTGGTGGCAGCCTACATAAAAGGACATGGAGGAAGGAAGCTTTTGCTTTTTGCCTGCTTGCCCTCACTCTCACTGGCAGTTCATCTACCTTGTTGCTGAGGCATCCCTTTGCTGACATTAGAAACTATTTCTTCAGGATCCCAATGGAGACTGGAGACCAGCAGCTCTCTAGGAATATTCCAGGACTCCCAGGACCAGACTGGGACTGCTGGGACATCTAGTCAGCTGGATTGAACAACTACCCAGTCATTGCCTTTCCATTGTGGGACAATCATTGTTGGACTACCTGGACCACAGCCTCTTAGCCTCTCTAGTAAATCTCCTCTAAATATTTGTATATAGAGATATAAATACTCATTTGATCAGCTCTGTTCCCTTCAAGATCCCCCCAACAAATATAGGGACCCAGGTTTAAAGAGGAGAAATAACAAACTCGTGGCTCATCTGCTGTGGGGATAAGCTTGGGGTAAGAGTCAAGGGACACTGAGTCACTCTGCACCCTGTGCCTTCTGAGGCTTTGAGTATTTATGGGAAAGGGGGCAAGAGCAATGGTGTGAGATGAGTGAAAATCCTGAACCCAGCAAAACCAGTTGGATTACCGGAAGCTTGCTGCTTAACCTAACTACACCTTCATTTGCTCACTTGTACAAGACGACTGCAGCAGTCCCAACCTCAAGGCGCTGACAGGAGCTGGGATGAGTTGACATGCATAAAGCACCAAGAATAAGCTAAGAACAGTTTGGTAACTGAGACTATAGCTCAGTCTATGGATGGTTTACCTACATTCATAAAGCCCAAGGTTCCATCCCCAGCACCACATACACTGGTGTGGTGCCACACACATGGAATCCCAGCACTCCAGTGCTGGAGGCAGGAGAATCAGAAGTTCAAGGTCATCTTTGGACACATAGCAAGGTCAAAGTCAGCCTGGGATCAAAAACACTTGGTGACTGTAAGATAGCAGCCATATAATTTCTACTGTTGTCAAAAGGAGACCCACCTGATAAGCGCTCACGCCTTATGGGCTTATTATCTTCCCTCCCATCTGACCTAGTGTTCCCTGTCTCAAATCCATGCAAAATGGAAGAGTTAAGTTAGTCAAGAATCAGGGACAAATGAGCCAGGAAATTTAAATATTCATGAGCCTAGGTGCAGCTAAGGCCCCTGTGGACAAAAGAAATTCACAGGTGATTACAGGGGCTTCCCTCCACCCCAGAGATGGGTGGGAACATTCCTATGAGCATTTACACCTTCCTAAGCATCAGAGGTCCTCCAGGCCACAAAGTGCTGATTCTGTGCTTGCTCTGCTGTGCGGGAATGTCCCCTGAAGCCGATGACATCTCAGTAGGTAAAGTGCTTATAGGCATGAGGAACCCAAGTTCAATTTCTAGAAGTCACACTAAAATAACAAATAAATGAATGCACAATATAGACTGTGCTGGAGTGTGCTCCTAATCCCAGCACTGCGAGGCAGAAGGAGACCCTGGGGGCTCTCTGGCCCGCCTAGCCTAGCCTACTTGGTAAGTCTCAGTTTGGTGAGAGTCTCAGCAAGCAAGACAGCTCCGAAGTAATGACTCCGAGGTTGTCCTGTGGCTTCCACACCCATGTGCAGGTATGTGCACCTCCACACACACATGCGTATAAATCACTCAAAATCTGTGTCAACTTCAGACAGAAAGGGTCCACTTCTTCCTAGAGGAGTCACACTTAGCTTTCAGAACAAGCAGCCATCAGAAGCTCCCTGAGTTTCAGCTGCTTCATACCCCATTTTCTCTTGAGGAGCAACAGTCCTGCAGATCTTGTGACCCTCCCCTGAGAGTCAAGGCACCTGAGGATCATGAGAGGGAAGTCTCTGGCTTGTGATTTTCATGGAATTTCCAGAATTAAAAAACAGTGGATGATTGTCCCTGGTCTCAGAAATTCACACCTGTCAGAGCCACTACTGAGTGTGATACAGTAGCCAGGGAAATGTAAGGGACTTGTTTGTCTGAACAGGAAATGGGTGAATGTGGAGGCAAATTTTGATCTTCTCCATCCTAGGTTAAAACTCCAGGTCCTTTCACTGTCCCACTCCGGCTCACAGTGAGACTCACCAGCAGAAACAGCCCCTGTTACATGGAGGCACAACCAACATTTGTTGAATTAGTGAGTGAGGCTGAAAGCAAACCCTATTTGTGCCTCCTGATTTTCCATAGTTGCTCCCCCCCCCCCATTGCAGTCTTTCATTTGCACAGAAACACTCATTCAGAAACAGACACCTTTAAATGATGGCAATGTCAGGCCTACAGTGTCTGCATGCCTACCTCTCCCTCAGAACTGGTTTGCTAACGTTAAGCTCACTGAGGTCAGGGAACATGCAGGCTTGCATCTGAAAAAACTGGCTTTCTACATCACACAGGCTCAAAGCTAAGAAGAGAAAACAAGAGCTTCAAAGCAATGGAGTTGTGGCACGTGCCTTGCATCATCTCCCTTCCATTCTACCACTGTGGTTTTTCCCTGTTCCGGGCCCCATGGGCAACAGGTGCACAAGACAGTCACAGTCCTCAAGGCTCAGTGTAACCAGGGATTCTGCACAAACCAGCTGCCGATGGTCACATATTCTCTGAACTCCGAGATGAACCTCAGGCCCTTGAAAACAATAAAAGGCAACAACAGCATTCTTTGTGTTTCTTGCCTAAGTGGACGAGGAGCTGCCAGCAATTACGCTGGGGCCTTTGCCGCAAAGCCTGCTTGCTTCCAGAGCTACAGCTGCGCTCCAGAGAGATCGTTAGTCGGTGCGCACATGTTATTGAGGGCAGTGGTGTCATTGCCAGTTGAAGATGCCCTCAGTCAAGTGTAAGAGCCGGAAATGGAGGTCAAAATAATTAACCTCGTGTGATTTTGGCAGAGCTCCTTGCAAAATCACCGTGTGCATCTCATATTTCAGCAAAATAACACATCCATTGGTTCCCAAGTCTCTCTTTCCCTCCCTTCGTCCCTCACTCTACTGTCAGTCTTTCCCCCTTCCTCTCTCCCACGCCGTGTCTTTAGCTTGCTTTTCTTTAGCCCCTTCCCACACCAAGAGCAGGTCATCATAACTCACTGCAGCCACGGCTGGCAGTGGCTCAGTACCATCTCCCATCACAATCACACCAACTCTCCGAAGAAAAGCAGAATGCATCCCTCTACAAAGGCTTCTTCTGACCCAGTTTCAGCGTACCCACACTCAGCTGCACCACGCTCACTGTGGGAGTCACGGCCAAAGCATCCATGGACTGCTCAAGGAAGACTCCCATCTGGCATGGGGAGGGGCCAGCTTGGGTTTGGAAACTGACTCCGGGTCCAAATGCTGTTTCTTATTTGCTGTTGGAGATGGGTGCCTGAAGGGATCACGTACAGCAGAAAACTAAGGGTATTCGCCAACTTGTGAGGGACACGCTGCCTAACATGCAAGGTTCCCCGTAAGAGTGTGGGGGTTATAAGCCTTAATTCTGTTCCCTCATCCAGCCAGCCATCCTTTTCATTCAACGTTATGTACTGATGGTTGACTGCATGGCATGGTGTTATGCATGCTTTGTAACTGGTGTGAGACATTTTATTAATTAAAGATGTCATTATAGCCATATATTTTGTTACTATTAAATGAAACACTCAAGGCTTGCGTCCTAATTAGCACAAATCCCAGGATCCCCTTCATTCTTGACCTTAATTTAGTTTTCCTTCTCCCCATCCTCGCTGCTTATCCAAGAGCCTCCCAGTCACTCCAGCTCTTGAGTAACAAGGATCTTTACACTAAGTGCAATGCAACCTATCACCACCAGAGGCCGAAGTTGAAGAATGGTCTCATGTAAGTGTACCTTCAGGGGTCAGGGGCACTATTGCCAAGCCTAGGCTGTACCAGGGCTGCTAATATCATTTCAGGGTACAAGGTTCCCCAAGAACACTAACAAGCATACCCAGACGTCATCTTCGGCTCTATACAGAATGTGAGGGGAACCAGTGACTGAGACACTCTCCATCTCACAGTAGCTCACTTGACTTCTTCTCTCCGATCCATGAGCCCTGATGACCCCGCTACCCTGCATTCTGTTCCCCTGTCTCTGGGATCAGGTTAGTCCTCTTGTCCATTTTCTGCCTTGATGGGCTACAGGACCCCTTTGCAGGTTGGTCCACATTCAGATCCCTGCATAGCATTCAGAGCCATCCAGCAACACGCAAAGCCCCGTCACCACCTCCATGCGGGAGAGCAGGAACCACACCCTAAAGAAGTCCTTTTCCAGTCCAGCTAACTTGTCCTTCCCAGAGCCACTTGGAGGATTTTCCTGAAGGTTGCAGCTGTGTCTCATGCTTAGTTATTAAAACTATGATGCGAAGCAAAGAACACATCTGCCTTGTAGACGCTCACACTCTAGGGAAGAGCCCCCACACCCCTACTGCACCCCAGGTACAGTGGAACTTACTCTGCTTAACTAGATAGCACTCATTCTGGAATGCCTGGAGGAACAGAGGAACCCAAGCACCTGAGAAGATGGCAGAGAGGACGTAAGAAGGGCATGGCAACCCTGAGCAGACAAAGACAGCTTTAATCCACCCCTTCCCTGCCCCTCCTAACACACACGCATATACCTCCACTCCACTCCCCCATTAGGAGACATTACTCCTCACTTAGGGAAGAATAAAGCCCAGGCATTGAATAGGAGCAGGGTAGATTTCAAAATTAGTTCCCCTTTCCATCTCTCACACACAGTTGTGAACCACTGCATTTTTGAGATGTGAAGGCTTTGGGAGGTCAAGGACAAACACCCCACACTCTAGTCAATTCCCATTGAATGCATAAGGTCTGAGGCATTTCCGCTGAAACTGTGCTGTGCACCTTGGTTTCCCTTCCAGGGAGCTATGGCAGGGATGTGGCCACGACTGGAGTGGTCCAGTTGCAGGATCCCAGGAGGGGAGGGCATCCTGGGATTCATGTAAGTACAGTGGCCAGGATCAAGCAATGGTTAAAATATGAGGAAATTGCTTCCAGCAGTTTATACTCTTGGCTTGACTCATAATTTAACCTTGAATATAGTTTTCAAAAATCATTAAGTCCCCAAAGCCTTCATCTCTAGCAGTGATTAGCCATGATGTAGTAAGCAGGAAGGGCAGGAAGTTCATCTATTTATTTCCAAGAAGGCACATCATGCATGCAGAATCCATTCCCTTGGCACTCAGGGAGGAGAGCTCTCTTACAGGCACTGTGCTGGGCACTGTGGGAGTTGATGCTAGACAGACCTGGACTTCTCCCCTCAAGGAGCTTCATGTCTAACGACAGACGAGGGCAAGAATCTAAGTGACCTTGGCAGGAAAACAATCTGGCTGTCTGGTTGCAGATGGCCTTGGACATGACAGGCTCTGTCAGAAGGGTTCTCCATCCAGTCACCCATTTATTCCCTGAGACAGCCCAGTGAAGGCAGTTCCTGTGGTCTGAACACAAAATGCCTCACATAGGTTCATGTGTTTGAACACTTGGTCCTTAGTTGGTTGTGCTGTTTTGGAAGGTTGTGGAACATTTAGGAGGTGGAGCCTCACTGGAGGAAGTGGTTCACCGGGGATGGGCCTTGAAGTTTCTACAGCAGGTCTGGACTTCCTGTCAGCAGCTCTACTTTCGGACTGCAGATGTAATGGGACCATCTGCCTCATGCTCCTGCAACCAAGCCTCCCAAACTATAGTAGACAGCTACAATAAGAACTACAATAAGCCGGGCGGTGGTGGCGCACGCCTTTAATCCCAGCACTCGGGAGGCAGAGCCAGGCGGATCTCTGTGAGTTCGAGGCCAGCCTGGGCTACCAAGTGAGTTCCAGGAAAGGCGCAAAGCTACACAGAGAAACCCTGTCTCGAAAAACCAAAAAAAAAAAAAAAAAGAACTACAATAAGGTCTTTCTTCTGTACACTGTTTTTGCTTGGTATTTTCATTGGCAATGAGGAAAAACAACTAAGCAGAGGTTATAGTCCTGCCTCTACTTTGCTGATGAAGCAACTGAACGTCAAAACTGCAGAACAAGAAAGCAGACATCGTTCTGAGCATGTGTACCTACTATTTCTTCCCCCCAGTCTTTCAGCCAGTAGCTAAGGAAAAGTACAATTTCTCATTGACCCTGGCACCCAACCTGTCTGCTGATGGTGCCTTGATGAAAAACTCACAGAGGGCTAGTCATGAGGGCCAGGAGGTGGGTCCACAAGGTTACAGTATGAAGCTGAGGCAGAGAGTCCATCTAGTGTAGATGTCTTTGACACATCATGAATCCCTGTGACTCAGGACTGGTACCCACTGCCTTGAGGTCATCAACCAAATAGCTGTTCCTTACACCACTGCATTCACTTTTGGGTTGAGCTGATTACAAGCTTTGTTAGGGATAAAACTCTGCAGACTCGCACATCCCAGCCTCCGTACCTACCTAGACCATCTGGTTCCTCTGTATCTCCCCCAGCAATGGTTCAATGAAACCCATGAAGCTCCTGGGTTGCCATGGAGATGGCAAGGATACAGCTAATTGGAAGCAAGTATGAGAGAAGCTGATCATGCACCTTCCCTGGGCAACTTCCGAGCATGTTCTCCAACTACCCTTTGCATCTGGAGTCAAGAATTTTCCTGATTCTCACAAAAAAATACCCAAGGCTTTTAATTTCCTCAGCCTGGCCAACAGGTTACCTCATTTTCACTCAACTCAGCCACAGGCCCTTTACACAAAGCAGGTTGATTCCCCTCTCAACCCATTTGTTTTGTGAACTAGTAATTCTGAAACACCTGGTGAAGCAAGAGCAAGGAAAAGACTTTCAGTGGTTACAAAAATCCATTTAGTGTCTGTAGTAAAGCCATCCTGGGGCTTTGATGGGCCAGACATAAATCTACCGAGATCATCTTCCCATAGGCCAAAAGGCAGATGGCTGTAACCACTGTCTGGTGGGTAGGACTAACAACATCTCTCAGAGTTGGAGAGATGGTTCAGTCCATAAGATGTCTCCTACTCATGCATGAGGATCCTAGTTAGGATTCCCAGCATCTACATAAGAAGCCCCGTGATGCTACTCATGCCTGTAATCCCAGCACTAGGGTGGTGGAGACAGCTCCCTGGAGCTCATCAGCCAGCCAACTGAGTCAAACTGACTGTAACAGAGACCTCTCTGCAAAAGTAAAGGGTGCTTGAGGAAGACATCTAACATCGACCTGCATACACCTGTGCACCTTCTCAAGCGCATGTGAACGCACAAGCACCAACAATCCTCACGGCTTCCCAGGATGAGAGCGACAAAGGAACCAAGGCTGAGACAGAGAAAGAAGATAAGCTGGGTGCCTCCAGGCCTGGCCAGCCCTGGACCGAATGTGAGCAGTTGGCTCCCTTCCTGCACTCTCCGTTCTTACTCTTCCAATTATGACATTTAGTGTTTTTAGAGACAGGGAGATGTGGGTTACAGGAAGGAATTTCTAGAAGGTAACAGAGATATCCATAGAAAAGCAGCCACAACTTGAGCTCTGAAAGATACCGCAAGGGGAACAGTCCTTCCCATATTTTCTTCCAAGGCTCAGATGTGCCTCTTCCCTGATCTGAGTGTTAATCCCAAACTCCCTGATCATACATTTAAACTGTGTGTTTAATTGTCCAACTCTTAATTAGGTGTGTAATTGGGGAGTCTGAGACAATGTGTAAATGAGCAAACAGTCCCCAAACTTCATTTCTGTTACTGCCTCCAACTTCCTCCCACAGACGCAGGAGCCAAGCTGGCGTCTTTGCTCTACAATCATTTTCTTTCCCATCTCATTTTCTAATCCAAACATTTGAGGGTGAAGTACCTGGGTCCTTATTTAAGTCATCAGCCAGAAAACAGTCATTGTCCTCCACACCTCAGAGAAGTACAGGTATAAATAAGAGCTAGAACAGGGGCCCACATGAACAGGATGGAAGGCGTCTGTGTGCAAGTTGACTCTGAATTTGATTTAAATGCTGAACTTGGCATTCAAGGCTGTGTCTTCGTCCATCCCTGCTGTAAACTGCAAGGAGCCATAGGCTCTAATTTGGCAAGCCTCCCACTACACAGGTGATACAGGAGGCTTTTGTTTCCCATGCTGCTATAGAAGCCAGCCTGGAAGATCCCAAGTCAAAGCCTTAGCTCAGAGGAAAAGCTAGACTCCCTGGGAAGCAACTCCACCTCCTGCCCCTTGTCCACTCATGTCTGGAGCCAGAATGGCTAACCAGGATAGACCTCCTGTTTTCTTTCTGTCTATCCCACAATATAGTTAGAACATTTCCTTTGCACATATGTCCACGAACTTGCCAAACCTTGGGTAAAGAGTTGCCAAGATGTACCCGGGTTCTGCAGTAAAGGCCTGAGATGGGAGGGAAGAAGGAATATGAAAAAGATCACATCACTAACAATTTAAACCGTAAGCATCCCCCCTCGGGTGTGTGTGTGTGTGTGTGTGTGTGTGTGTGTGTGTGTGTGACACATGCTCATGTGTATGCACACCTGTGTGTGCATGTTCAGGCCAGAGAAGTGTCTTCTTTTATGCCTCTTCACCTTTCTGCTCTGAGACAGGTTCTCGCACTGAGCCCCAAGTTTGCTGGTTTGGCTAGCCTGGCTGGCCA